GCCATCATTTTTATGGCCCAGCTTCATGGAAGGTGACAGGTGAAAATCTTAAAATTGTGAAAGCACTAAGTCGGCCCCCGGACTCTTCATGTGTGGTGTCTCCCTCGTGGTGATTACTGCGGTGCAGACTATCGTATGACACGGTTCCCATTTCAATCGTTCTACATCAAAGTCATCCTAAATGTCACCTGAGGTCATCCTCCGATCCTGAGCCGACCTCAGAACAGCCTCGAGGTGGTGAACAAACGACAACTCGCAGCCCACCGAGGGTGCTCGACACACTGGCCTGGACGTGTGGTAAAAGAAACGTTTTTCTAACAGTGGGATCAAATTATGACGATTAAGCTTCTCTAAAATCTCACTGAGTGAAAATACAGAAAAGATGTTTTGTATTAACAAATGACCTCGTTTAATGTGAATCACTTTTAACAAACTCACATCGCAGTGTTTTGCCAGATTGAACGTAAAGTCAGAGTTTTACACTCCCAAAGAGAAGCACAGTGGTCTGAGGACAGAGAAGGGGTGTGTCTGCGTGACAGAGGAAACAGGACGACACGCACTCTGCTCCAATAATTAAAGATTGATCTGGGATTTTATGAAGTAGCAGCACCGGCTGTTAATCAGCTTGAGCTGAAGTTCAGTCAGGTTCCCTAGAGGGCCAACAATGACACAGGAGGATTTTGCAGGTGGATTTCATGGGCACTTCTCCCCTTCTCATCTTTCCTGGCTCTCTTATCACTAGTTTTGCATTTGCCTCGAGTCCATGTGGTGATACCAGGACCCTACAGCTCCTCCGGGATGGCACATCAGCAGTAGAGTCTCAGGAGCGTGGAGACAAGCCCTTAACCCATCAGCAGGACCAGCATCTGCTCCTTTGTGCAAAGAGGAACATTATGAGCACTGCCAGAGCTACAAAATGACCTCCAGCAGGCCGCTGGTGTGAATGGCTCTGACCACACGATCAGAAAAAGACTTAACGAAGGCGGCCGAGGGGCCGAAGTCCTGTCGTGGACGCTGTGTTCAACACCTGGCATCCTGAATTGTCATTTACGATAAAATACCAGATTTGGCAGCCCTGAGAGCCCTAAGAACATGTGACCGACGGGAAAGCGTCTGCATAAGCCTGCCTGTAACATCATTCAGCATGCCCATGGTCTGTGGAGGCATACAATGTTAACCTACGGGCAGGGACGACATTTTTAGACTCCTGGTCAGGCCCTACGCCGGTGCAGGGGGCCCTGGGTTTCTCTCGGTGCTCCACAATGCGCAGCCCCACGTGACGAGAGTATGCAGGCAGCTCCTGGAGGATGAAGGAACTGACACCATTGACTGATCCTCACGCATGCCTGACCTAAATCCAACAGAACTCCTCTGGGACATTATGTTTCAGTCCATCCATCACCACCAGGTAGCACCTCAGACTGTCCAAGAGCCAGTGATGCCCTGGAGCAGATCTGGGATACTGTCCCAGATCCCTGATGATGTCATGCACGCATGTAGCCACTTATTAAGTTTGTCTTTATTTACAGAAACAGAGCAGCTAATATTAATCGTCTGTGGGCTGTAAGACTGGCAGGTGAGAGCTGCAGAGCAACAACCTGGGAGCACCTGAGACAAGACCAGCCTTGCACTTGTTTAACCATTAGTCACAATAAAGCAAAGCACCTGCCTAAGGTAAGAGTTCAATAAAGGAAAGCCCTCCAAATATGAACTGACAGTCAGTAAATGCATCAGAGTCATTAAATAAACTGGGTGCCAGTAACTGTGCAGCGTAATGAAACAGCTGGAAGAAGAAGCATATAAAGTGCTATGAAGGTGATTTTGTGAGATACTGGAGGCGTTTGAATTCCTATCACTGTCCCCACTGAATGAACACACGACCACAGGCTGCTGTACGTTATGAAACTGTTGCACTGCATAAACAAGCTGTACGGTTAATCCACCGCAGAATTTTAATTCATTCTTTATGTAGCGAGGATTATAGTGTTTCCCAAGCAGGCACAGTGAATAATCTCACTCAGTGCTGTTAGAGACGGACGTGGAGAGAAAATAGATGTTATTGATCTGAGAGGGGACTTGGTTACAACTGTGAACGTCACAAATTAAAATAAAAAGGGGCTTAAAGATAAAATGTACACAACTGCCAGACCAAATTCATCCAAGACAGCGATTAGAGTGGCGAGTACTACAGCTACTGTAGCTGCTCTCAGATGTGGCCTGTGCAGTAAAAGCGCACAGAAACGTGATGCACAGAGCTGACACAATTGGCCTTTCACCATCACAAAGATGGTGTCTGGTCTGGGTGATGTATTTCTCTCTCTCAGCCTTTGGTAGTGCCCCCCCCTCTGAACAGGCCCCCGTTTATGAGGGCAGATGTCAGTCTGTAGGCCCCCCTGAGACTCACTCTGTAGGCAGCCCTGCACATGGCCTGACAGTAAAAAGACAGTAAGGATGACTTAAGCAGAAGGCTTAAGGGGAGAGGACCAGTTTCTGATTAAAATGCTTGAAGCAGTGTCTTCGAGGGTCAGAAAGATGTTCGACAGAGAGTTTAATCACCCTAAAGCTTCGGGTGCTAAGCTCAGCTTGTGGACTTGTGCATTTGATGTGCATGACCATTTTTTGAATGTTGCTTTAAAATGAAACAACCATTAATAACCTTTTTTCCTCCCTGCAAACACCGACTGAGGAGGAAAAATGTTGCAAATGGCAACGAGACTTTGAATTATGAACTCTAACTGTGACTTTTGGCATTTATGGTGTAAAAACAGAGAAAACAAAGAATATGGATTCCCCTCGTGCTCGGGACACTACACATCCGCCTCCGCCAGCCTGGAGGAGATATTGTCAACCAGCACAAATACAATCAAACATGGGACATGTGACCCCTGGTGTATTTTTACAACAGCATCAGCTCTGAAGGGGAAAACAAGAACGAGCACACAAGTTCTCACATCAAAGCCACGGCCATACTATCCTGTGCTATGTACGCAGGGTATGCATGCTAAGCTACGTAGCATAGCTGGCTAATGCACAACAGTGTGACTTTTCTTGCCCCCGCTGCTCTGGTGTAAACATGGGGGCCAAATATTTCTGAGGCTGGCCGAGAGCTTTACTGCACACAGCAGCGGGGTGAGTAACCTGACTTACAGTAAACAAAAGGAGAACTCACTTTTTCAACAGCAGTGATGCTAAAAGTAAAAACACCAACATGAAAGGTTGTCTTTACACCTGGTGACTTTCTATCACCTTTTTTCACTTTAGAGGTTTTTCAAAGTGACAAGAAAAGAAGAATAGGTGACGGTGGCTAAGGTAGATA